GTCACGCCCCGCCCTCTTGGGAGCAAACGTCAAAAGTCAACAAACAACCACGAACTTTCTCACCTTACAAGCGAAAGTGTACCTTGCCCCACTAAACCCAGGGCTCGGTGGTCTGGCTGAGTGAGGAATAATCCCTCGGAAAATTACAATTCTTCCGTATCGTGGACGTACAGAAGCAATCCACTCATACTGTTGTTGTCCAGGGGGGTAGGGTGTTCCGTCTTGGGATAAAACCTCTTCGAAAAATGCAGTTTCTCCATAGTTATTCGCCTCCCAGTCAGGAGTCAGGTACATGAGAAAGGTGTATTCATGCTGCATTGAAAGAAAAGGCCATAATTATCTTACAAAAGCTACTTCACGGTTTTGTGCATCTTGAAAAAAAAATGTAAACATTTCAGTTTCAACTTTTAAATCTTTTCCATTCTAAGCCATCTGTATTTATTCTTGTTCATAATTGCCTGTCGCTTATTTCTTCATATTTTGTAGACTTCCTCAACTGAAATGTACACGTAGTTTTACTTGGTGCAGAAAGAGAATCAGAATATAGTGCCTGACCTTACATAAGTATAAAGAAAGGAGAGGAAAGGGTCTTTGAAATATCCCCATTAAATCAATCTCGTTCTGCCCTACTTCCTGTTGTTTTTCTCCTCTTCATAAAATCTCACCCAAGCTATAGTCAGGGGGTTCCTGTGGTGTGTACAAGCTATGGTCAGGGTGTCCTGTGGTGTATATGATCTCTCTTTAATTAATTTTTCTTGACAAGGAGTGAGCTCCTCTATGTCATGAAAAAAGTGACACATGGATTAAAACGCAAAAGAAGGCAATACTGTAGAACCTCTTTCCCCCACTAGAAAATGTCACAAATAATAATGTCACTGGGCCATTTCACAAATAATATGAAAACAGAGTTTATGTTTGTGGGAGTGCATCAGAGCCATTTTAGCCTGAGTTGTAAGGCCAGGGTGAATTGAGAAGCTCTTACAAGGACCCAAACCATATTTCTGCCCAAGAAAATTAACTGTACTTTTAGTCTGACTAGTATTTTCACTTTTGAAGAGCACTGAGAAAATAAGAACTGAAAAACAAAAATCATAATAAAACAGTCTGAACAATTATGCAAGTGTGCAAGCAGGCTAAAATGCCAAAATCTCCATTTTAGCTTGTAAAATGTGCCATAATGCCCTACAGACTTTTGGAGAGTAGCCGCAGAGTTTACATTAAATGACAGTAGAAATTCAGTTATAAGAAATATATTGCTAAATAATCAGTACCTCATTAGGCTCACAGTCTTCATGAATTCTGGGATAATGTGAGTTTCTGATGATATTCATGGACACATCATATGGATACCATTCATCAAGACCACTAAGGTATGTAGCCAGCAGCTTCACAATCTTCCACAAACGACTTTTTACAAAGTCTTTCACCTAGGATGAAGAAATAAATGATAAGAAAGAATTTGTTGATCTATTTTTCCTTTTTTCTTTTTTTTGCAGTTAAATTTTACCCTGATCTATCCTGTCAAGTCCATGATGACAAAAATATTATTGCCAAATGAATCCAAAAAACAAGATTAAAAATCTGCCATACCTAATATTAACGTGCCATTGAGTTATCAGAGTTTAGCAAGGTTCTAGTAACACACAGTGTCTAGGGGTATTGCTACTCCACCCTGGACAGTATGTTAGCCCAATTGCAGGGTTACCCACCGAAAAAATATTTCAGGTTTCCCAAACAGTTCAATGCTACTCATTAATACTCCAGGATGGAGAGAGGCAATGTGACTTGTCTTTCCTAAGAACACAAAAGAACGACCAGAGAGCACAAAAATAACCACTTGGCCACCATGTCTCCCATGACTTTGCATAGTTTTTTGGATTGTATTCAGCTTCTTTGATAATCCACTGCTGTTCTGACTAACCTTTGTGATAACTTGCCCTTAATATCAACACACTTCACTGAAAATCACTCTTAGTAAAATTATATTAGAAAAGGATATTTTTCATTTACGCACTTACCTTACACTTAATTTATTTTATATCTAAATTATCACTTGATAGAAATTGAAAGTAAATGTAAAATTCTTGAACGAGGTTGGAATTTACAATTTCATCTGTAAGGTTAGAACTCAGAGTAGTCTAATATTACTTGGTAATGTTACTCTTAAAACCTCGTCATTAGCTAAACTAATTAACTAATGAGAAAGATAAAGAACATCAATGTAATTTTAACCTTTAACATTGCGATCCAGGACACATTGTCATGTTCTTCATCCACACCATCAAATGGTTGGTACTGGAAAACACTGTTGTAGTGCAACAAGAAGAGTCGCAATGCATCAAGATCTGATTTGTCAACAAGACCATCAAAGACTGCAATTTCTCTACCCTGACTGTCATGGAACCTCCTCTTCTCATATTTACTCAAGTCCAGCACAGGAATTTCACCCTCATCTGAAAGGGCAAATCCTAGAGTTTCCTGGCTTTCTGATTTTTTAATTAATCTCTGTTGGAGTTGAGAGGAGAAAGAAGTGATTAGTTCAATATTTCATTACCTCACAATGAAGTTAATTGGAATTTTTACAATAAAAATAACCACAGAACATAAAATTCTAGATATCTGAGATCCAGAACTCTGTAAGGCAAAAGAAATGATCAATTGAAGTTCCTTTCTGAGTAAAACTCTCACTTTCTTATAGACTTTTATTCCAACATTTTTTTAAAGCCCTTACACCTTAACATCAAAATAGGTTTTACATTCCCTCCATGCAGTTCTTGAATATGTTTCCAATGGCACTAACTACTGAATAATTCAGTTAAACATTAAGAGCTTTTCAAGTTTGTGATCATTGCCTTAATTCTACTGAGGTTCATGCTTAATTCATCA